CCCCCACCTAAAAAACACTTTAAAATCTCACTTTTGCCCTTAACTAAAAAAGTTTCATTAAAAAAAATCTTTAATCAATACTGCCTTACATGTATAATTTGTTAACACTTGTAACATGAAAGTGTGTATATGATCAAATAGTTATATGATCAAATAGTTTACATAGTTTAACAGGAAATCAATATTTTTACGAAAAAGTTTTTTTTAGGGGGGTCACAAATTTGGCAAGGAAGGGTACAAAAATTGCCTGCTCCTACACAAATGATCTGATAGGAGGGGGGCTCATCGTGCCCTCCTTCTCCCGCGAAATTTAAAAAATACCAAACTTACCATACAATACAAAGAGCTCTATTCAAGGAAAACTATTGTAGATTATAAAACTTAAATCCCCACTCACCCTCCCCATCACCCTCCCCATCACCCTTTTCCTCTTTTCAATATTTGTACAAGTGATCTTTCTCATAAAAGTAATTTCTATGCAACACTTTATCAAAATAGTTATTTTTATGAAAATACTGAAAAACTTTTAAATAAGCGCCAGGTCACACACTAAGAAAATACGTGACAGAAACATAAAATAAACAACATGGTTTTTAGAAATTGATTACTTGCCTCAAACTCTAATTTTCTAATCCTGATATCTTTGAAGGCTGATGGTGTAATTGTAAACATTTAATATCGCTAACTAGTTGCACTGTTTATTTACTCCAAAACTTAAAAATGCGACTGTTAACAATTTGTTTGTGCGAAAAAAAAACACTTTCCAAGTTCGAGAAAGAAGACCTTTTTTCACGAGACTTTGACGATATGCTAACTCAATAGAATAGAATAGAATAGAATGGATCTTTTTAAGCAAAACTATTTAAGAAATTAAACTGTGAGTGTATAAATTGAAAGAGGGGGGGGAGGATAAACTAAACCCACTACCTCTTACACAAATACTTATGGCCCTCCCTTTAGGTCTAAAACCAGGCTTTTATACTACTGCCTGAATGAACGACTACTTTTTCCGCTTACAAACTAAATCTTTGTTTTGACCCATTTTCAGTTGTCAGATTTTGATAACTTTTAGCTGGTTGGAAAGCCTATATGACATAAAAGGAAACAGATTGCTTAAGTTTTGCAAAGAAATTTTGCTAATTATTTATCATTTATTTATTATTATTTATTATTTGACACAAGAAATTTGCACATTTTTAGTTTTTCTTAATTACACATCAGGTTATCTAAAATTTAGCAAAAATATATGCATATTTGAACTTGCATGGTCAAGAGCTTATTTAAAAAAGTATATTATATCATTTTTGGACCTTTTTTGCAATCATGTTCACAATATAACTGGATACTTGCAATTTGTTTGCAGAATTTATAAAAGTAGAGCAGAAGTGCTTTCCAATGATGTATTTATCCTTTGTCATATTTGGACATCAAACATGGAATTATCCTGGTTTTGAAGTACCACAGCAGGGATAGTGTTACTGTATGTACAAGAGGACTCAGGATTGGGGGGAGAGGGGGGGGGGGCCGAGGTAAAGATGAATGGCCGGGTGTGTGGGGGGGTAATGGTTGCTAATTTCTATTTCATATTTTCATTTCATATTTTTATTCAACTACAAAGCACAAGATAATACAAATAAAAAATCATAATTTACTATGTAGTTTGGACCCGCGTAAACAGAGATGGTTGTTTTGATTGGTTGGCCCATTATAAGCGAATAAGAATTGTAAATAAATAGATGGATTACTTCTATTTCTTCGAGTTTGCCTATATCAACATAAGATAAGAACCTTTTTAAAAAATCCAGTTTTGACTTCCAAATATTTGTTATTAGCTTTATTTATCAACTACAAATCAAAAACTGACGGATTCAGACCTCTCACGCGTAAAAAACAGTTTTCTTGTCTTATGTCCTAGAGGGACCTTGACAAATAAAGTATGGTTAAGCAAAAAAAACATTTCTCAATTATCTGCCGTTTAAATTTGTAAAAATACATCAATTCTGTTCTTGAAGAATATCTTGTTTTATGAGACTAAATTTAATAAATATTGATACAAGTCTTAAATAACATACTTGAAATTGGATATATTCTAGATAAGAATCTCTGCTATTTGTTTCTCAAAATAAGTTCTAAGCTTTGCATTAGATTTCTTTCTAATTTATGCAAAATGACCTTAACACAGTTTTTGGTAGAGATTTATTTTCCATTGCAAATGATTGTTCTGTAAATCTTTCTGATTTTAGTAAAATGTTAGTTTAGAAACAAATTAATTTTTTATGCATGGAAAGTTCCGGTTTTACAAAAAAATTTTGTAGAAGGATTCGATGATTACGTAATAACTGAAATGATAAATATGTTATGTAATGAGTAATGATCAATGTCGCTTATTTGTGCATAATTTTGCATATTTTTTTTTGTAAAACTATTTATTCAAAAACAAATTTTAACTACACCATTTATGTGTGTGTGAATACACCTTTATAATATTATAATATATTTGTGGATCAAGCATTAAAAAGGTTCAACAATTATACTGTTATTGTAAATATTATATTAGACAGAAATAAAGTGTTCCACAAGAACAACCCCAAACTTACTGATATTCAGTTTAATGAAAGAAAAAAAAGTTGTCCAGGAGAGGGGGCGTAACTAGAAGTACTATTAAGGAAGGGGAGGGGGGAATCTCAGTTGAATACACCCTAATCCAAGAAATTACCACCCACCGTGTCCCTGTATACGCCCTTAGCTGAAAATTTCAGAATAGGATATCCTTAATCCCGATCTCTTAATTAATCTGGCGATTAATAATAAGAGAACAAGCATTATTTAATCTGGAGATTAAGAAAAAGAGTTGATCAAGCATTAATCCCGATATCCACCATTCAAAAATTCCCAGCTCTGGCCATTGTTTAAAGTCTAACCTGCAGAGGAAAGATATATTTCCATGTTGAAATTTTGTGTGATAAATCTTATCTTCTTTCAACAAAAGCCCTAAACAATCACTTTTTACAATTGTTTTTTTTGGTAATCTTTCATGGTTTAGTTTCACATTAAAATCTGAAATCTTTAATCACAAATCTCAAAGTTATTAAGAACAAAAATAGTCAGTTTTGTACTCAATCAAATAACTTTTCTCATACTTGTGTCCAGTATAAAATTTAAAAAGCCATGAGGTCACAAAGTCGTCCCAGTTATGTCTTATAAATCCCTCATTTCTAACCTGGCCAAGAGCAGTAACTGCATCTTACGAATCCATTGTTCATTGGAGCCTGGGACATCATGGAATCCGCGGATGTCCCGGAATCCGCGGACATCCTGGAATCTGTGGAAATTCTGACATCCTGGAATGTTCTAGTATCCTGGGAAGTGACAAACATCTTTTTTCCTTCTTCTTCTTCTACTTAAGATGTCTCCCCTCTTCAAACTGAAATAAAAGAATTTCCTGAAAATTAGAATGTGAAATTTTGCAATGTACAGTGTACACTCTGTACAGATGCAATGTACAGTGTACACAGTACAGATGCAATGTACAGTGTACTTAGTTCAGAATGCAATGTACAGTGTACACAGCAAAGATGCAATGCACAGTGTACACAGTACAGATGCAATGTACAGTGTACACAGTACAGATGCAATGTACAGTGTACACAGTACAGATGCAATGTACAGTGTACACAGTACAGATGCAATGTACAGTGTACACAGTACAGATGCAATGTACAGTGTACACAGTACAGATGCAATGTACAGTGTACACAGTACAGATGCAATGTACAGTGTACACAGTACAGATGCAATGTACAGTGTACACAGTACAGATGCAATGTACAGTGTACACAGTACAGATGNAGGAAAAAAACTATTTTTGAATATCGTGGGAAAACAATCACACTTTACTTGAAGGGGGAAAATTATTTTTAAAAATAACAATCCCTGCCTTTAATATCGTTTGACTCTGATTTTATCTGGCAAACTTGAAAGCACATATTTGAAATATGTTAGAACCAAATAATAATATTAACAAAATGTTTCTGACCAATAATTTGTTTTACACACAAGTAAGTGTATATAATCCACCCCCCAACCTCACGTCCAATTTATCATTATGGCCTTAAGTAGATTAAGTAGATTATTATTAAAGATTCTCCACTTGATTACATGTCTTTAAAGGGACTGTAAGCGTAATTTCGAGTGACCCATAATGCAGAAATGGCAATACACGATTCGCAACAGAAATTGTTGTTTTTCTGGTTTAATAATAAATATTCGTTTATGTTTTTCTGCAGTAAAAATGCGCAATGCGAGAAGCCACATTTGAAAATAATTGAAAAAATTGAGCCTGCAAGGTTAGCGTTGTGAATCGGGCATTGTCATCTGTGCATGGAGGGAGGGTCACATGAAATTACATTTACAGTCCCTTTAAAAGGACGTCCTGCCTACTGCCCAGTATACTGGTTACTTATTGCACTTCAACTTTAAATGAATGTGGATTGTTATACAGTTCTGTTCTTGATACTTATCCAGAGATTTCTTTCAGGAAAAGAACCGAGTTCTTTCCACAGGCTCTAAGTCTAATATTTAAACCTTTATCTTTTCAAACCGATGTCGTGGACCAATTGATTTTTTCACACTATCAACAGTTTACACAATTAGGTAGAAAGTACGAGTTTGTGGCCAGAGCTCAGTTCTTATTGACGCCATTTCAAGTGACCCAAAAATTAAAGAGAGTTGAATGCCCGAATTCCCTTTCAATCTGTGTCTGAGGAGAAACGCTGAATTTAATCAGATTTAATTTGAAAATTTGAATTGCGGACAAAAAAGAGACAGAGTTTAACAGTAAGAATGATGAAAAACAACGAGAGGCATACAGAGGGGGGCATCAAGAGGAGGGGCGCATATAAGGGGTATTATTGGGGCACAGCCCATGCCCCATGGGCCGTGATCAATAGAATTATTTGGTTTCCAGGGGGTTTCAGGTCCCAACAGGAGCCCCTTCCCCCTGGAAAGATAACAAAGTAAACACCTATTGTTCTTATAAAGGGTTTATAGGGTTCTTAGAATAAATTACAGAATATTTCTACTTCAGAAAAAAGGGTATCAAACAGGATGCAAATGCCTGTAAAAACTCCAGTAAAGAGCATACATATCTACAGTTTTTCCAAAATTTAGAACAAAATCCCCTGCTAGCTTGAGGATGAGTACAAAGATCTTCTTCTAAACCAGGCTATATTTTTATCTATAATTCCAATATGTCACCATTTCGTTACTTTTTACTTGTAAGATAGTTTATTAAAATAATTAATCAATTCTGAATTAATTAGCGGTTAAGAATAATTAATAGATATTATTGGTACCAAATTATTTTTGTATTCCATTATTCTTTCTTTCATTTTTCGTTTCCTTCTTTAAATTTTTTAATCTTTTCTATTTGTTTAAGACAATGCCTGAGGAAAAGGGGGGCAAGTGCATGTGTCTCTCTCCCTACCTAATTGCCTCGCAGGAGAAATGTGCATAAAATCAGCTAATATATAATCGCACATATAACTTTAGACTTGTCAAAACACCCCATCCCTTCTCACGTAATATGTTTCACGTTTCAGTTGTAGTTCTTCTCTTGAAGACTCACACTACAAGACTGACTGACAGTCCGGACTCCGGTCCGGAATACGCTGTCGAATAGGGTGACGGGGTCTGGGGACTGGGTCAGGCGCGCAACTAGACATTTGCGTGAAAATTCCCCCCCCCCCCCTTAACACTTTTAAGGGGGGGGGGGGGGGAAAGAAAAATGTGTAATATACTCGAAACAATAAAAAAAACTAACCTTACCAACCGGATATTCAGTATGACCCCATCTGATATGAAATAAAAAAAGAAATCTATTAAACATTTTTTTATTTACAAGAAAATGCCTTAAAAAGAAGGGGTGGGGGTGGGGGCGAGGGTGTTTTCTATTCTGCCCCATATAAATGCCTCATAATCTACAGTTGCAACAACCTACATTTACGTTTACATAACGAATGCAGAATGAAAGATATTGGTTGTATAAGCTGTTGCTTCATCTGCTATGAAGGAGTAGAATTTAGCAGATTTAACTTTATTCAAAAAAGATTTTAGGACAAAGTGTTCACCTTTATTCAAACAATAATTTACTTTATCATCAAGAAGTTCATATGTTTCCAATCTTTATCCAAAATACGCACATAATACTTGAAAAATCTAGCATTTATTTTCTCCCAAAAAAACTTTCTATTAGCCTTATTAAATTTTTCAAAATGATTCATTCTTCTTAAATTTTCTGGTTTGTCCCCCAAATCGTAATTTAGACCCCTTGACGCGGTCTAATTTGATGTGGGACGAGTGGGACACCCTGTATGTAAACAATAAACATGCGTTTTTACCAATATGACAAATTTGAGATGTACTTATTTTATTTACTTTATATATGAATGTTAATCCTTGGATTTTTATCATAAAAAAACTTTTAAATTCAATAATCATTTAGAAAGATCAAAATATTGCCGAACAATGCCCCCCATGACGGGGGGCCCCAGACAGGGAAGTTCGAGAATATAAAGCTACCTTAAGATGGTATGCTCTGAGATTAAAACGAAAAAAATTTAAGATTTTAAAAAGTAATTTTACATTTTCACTAAATTGACAATCTTTACCCTTTAATAAACAATAAAAGTAAATTTGAATCCGCGTTTCCTCACTCTGTAGTAAAAATATCCTTCATAGTCAGTTTGTCTCTAATCTATATTGCATCTGTACTCAATGAGGGAGGGAGGGATATGATACTCAAACTTCTAGAATTAGGAACACCAGTCAGTAATTAGTATATGTCAAACAATACCCTGAGAGCTGGAATACAAGAGTTTGCTCTACAAGTCTGATTTAAACTTTGACAATATTTGAATCTTGTTTACGACCAAATTCTAGAAATTTTGAGAGAAAAAAAAAAACACATAAAGACCAACCTGCTGTAGGATTCAGTCTACCACCCCCTCCCCTTCAAGGATATGCAAAAACTGGATCCAGACCACGCAGATTGAATAGTTTGATCATTTTCCCGACTAACCGTGACTCTCGATCACAATTTGACATTAAAACATACATTTATCACCTTCTCTTTATTATACTCTTTTGACGGCGCATGCCTTTTGAATGAATAAAGTATTTTAAAAAGACAACTTCAAGTCCAGGGTAGGAGTCCGACAGACAGTACAGATTTGGATCCGAATCAAAATGAAGTGAATCCCATAAGCAATGCACACTGCACACTGCACACTGCACAAGTATTAAATGAAAACAAAAATCTTATCTTTTATATTTTATCTCCTTAACTATGATAAGGGGACACTTAGTTTGAGATAAAGGAATTGCGTCTTCGCCACAAACCCTGATTTTCTAATTCTTACATCGTAGCAACTTTGATATTTCAATCTTTGATTTCTGTTGTGGCAAAGACTTAATTCCTTTTACTTAATAATTAAGAAAAATATTTTGGCAGAAAATGAAAATACCACAACTCCGTTTCCTCATTCATGAACGTATGTATCATGTAATATATTAACAAGAATTTCCGTGGGGGAGTAATGATTTTCAGAAAGGAGAAAGTAGGGGCCAGAGAGGGGGGGTTGAAACTAATGGACATCAACTAATGGGCGTTTCACCCTTATATGCTTTCTCTCTAAATAATTGTTTATTTCCCCGGGCCTAAAAATGCAAATTCAGTCTTAAATTTTGAGGAGGGAGGCGGGGGGTGCAATAGTATATAAAAGAAAATATGTGAACACTAAAAAAATATCCACACTTTGGACAAAGACTTAAAAATTTCACAAAAAATGCAGTAATGAGAACAATGAACATTTAAACGATCAGAATCAATCCCTCCAATTGCACAGAGGGAGGGGAAATAATTTCCGATGCTCAGGGGGGGGGGGGGGAATTGGACGTATGCTTACAAGTTTTCCCTTTTTATTTGATACCTTCTCTCCTAAAATATGAAAAACATATGTATGTACATATACCCCAAAATCTGGAGAAAAAATATTTTCTAAAGGAGGGGGAGGGATAATTTTGCAAGAAATATATACCCTGTTAAGTCTTAAAAGTTATGTTTACTAACTGAAATAATATAAAGATTTGTCTCCAGACCTGATATTTGTATTTAAATACTAGATTTTCTCCGATTTTAAAACATTAAATTGTGACCCTGTGAGCTTCTTCTCTTTGTACATTATAAAATAAAAACAAACAAAAAAGTTCGTGAATTTAATAATATTTTTTGGAGCATTTTAAATTTTTTTTCAAAAATCAAAATCTTCTGGACACCATTTTTTTATAATTTTGAGCAACCTTATACCTTCCCTGGGGGTCATGCGAGGTCCCACACATCATTTAGGCCCGATCGATTCAGATGTTTTGACGTTTATTGGATACAAACGGACAGACAAACAGACAAGCAAAGTATATATAGATGAACATCTCTAACTTCTAATAAAATATCACTTTTTATCTAAAGCTGACCTAATACGTAAATGTAGATTGTTCACTGTGAAAATCCCTAATTGCTGATGTACAGGGTGTCTCAAATGATATTAGATCGTAAATGCGCCCAAATTCTGATTTTCGGGACTAATCAGAAAATTTAAAAAAATAAATAAATTATTTTGAAAAATTAAATGAGGCTATATAAAGATGTTCTTGCAGAAAATGCTAGTTTTTGGGTATTATGTGTTTATTTTGGCGTTAAAACTTGGACTTTGAAGATAATCTAATATGATATGGGAAGCTCTGGATAATCATAACTACGTACCTTCTGCAATTTAGGACAGGTGTCAAGCTTTCAGAATTACTAACATAACATCATTTTCGAACAAATCTGAAAACAATTTTCTGGGACCTTGGCAAAAATGAAACATTTGTGTATATTTGTATGGTATATGGATCGTACATGTATTCAAAATTAAATCACAAACAATTTTCCTTCTTTCATCACGACCAGTAAAAAGTAGATGAAAAGTTTTCGTTTAATTCGCTGAAAGCGATACTTGAGAAATGAAGAAATAAAAATAACAACAAAATTTAAGTTAAACAAGAATTATGAACTCGAAACATCGAAACTTGTGGCATGCACCTTTAGTTAGTACACAGCCGTTGTACTTAGTGCATAACCTATGTACTTTGTACAATACATATGTACTTGGTAAAAAAAACATAGCCCAGTACCAATGCAATATTCAATTCATGTACTAAATACAAAACATATGTGCTTTCTGTTTAGTACAAAACATATGTGCTAAAAAAGAACTAAACTATGTACTCAATACGCAGTTTTGACTTAAACCAACAACCTATATGAATCAGCAATCAGCACCCACCCTCCAATCTATTTAACCAGTAGACAACCTTGTACCCAGTACACATACCATGTACTTTGTTCATAAACTAGAAAATATGTACTCAGTACAAAACATATATACTCTGTACCTAACGTATGTACATAGTACACAAACTTTGTACATAGTTCACACACTTTATACATAGTACACAAACTTTGTACATAGTACACAAACTTTGTATATAAATCGGAAAAAAAGTACTCAGTACAAAAGCTATGTACTTTAAGTAAAAACCTTCACGTACTTTTTAAATCAACATAAATTAGTCGATTGAAGAAACATGAAATATGAGTTTAAAAAGAATAGAAAGAACATTTCGCGGGATTTAAATGCCAGTTTGAAACCTAACTCCGACTTCGACTTTTCTTCTTCTGTGAAGCCATCGCTCTTCTCTTCCGGGCCTCCTCCTTCTTCCTAATCGTCTCCTCCGATAGTGGTTTCCAGTAGACGGCGGGCAGCGCCTTGGTTTTATTAAACAATTCCTCCAAGGATTTGGTCGGCATAGTTTTCTCCGGTGTGACGCTCCTCTCTCTCCTTCTTCGGTCCTCCCGGTCAACCTTCTCCCGGTCCCACTCCCTATCCCCCTTCAACCCGTTGCTGGTCACTATCCGGACCGGTTCCTCGACGCTGTCCTTGAGCTTGAGCATCTCCTCCTCTGTACCGAATGTGACGATGAGTGGGTTTTTATTGTCCATCGGCCAGGTAACGCCATTCAGGGCCATTCGAGTTTCACTGGCCTGGTCCACGGTGGCAAACTTGACGCAGGATTTGCTCTTGATTTTATTTATCCAGAAGTCTTGGACGGTTCCAGTTCTCTTGAGAACTTCTTTAAATTGATGTTCGGTGAAGGGGCGAGCGAGGTTGTACACAATGATTATATTACTCTCTGCTGGGTCATCTTCCATTTTTATTCTCTTTCTCTGGACAGTCTTCTTTTCTTCAAGTTCAAGAAGCTTTTCTTTAGGAAGGGTCGGACACATTTCGTCGTCGCTGTCGATACTGTTCTTTCCGTTCTTCTCAGGTTCCTCTTCGATAACAACATCTGTACTGAGTAGTGGCGCTATATCGGGAACTATATCCTTTAAGGAATTGCTTGTAATTTCAATATTCTCAGAGGAGCTTAACCTCGAGGTTCTCGAGGCTCCCCAGCCTCGCTTTTTCTTCTCCCCCTCACCGCCTCGAACTCCCCCCAGCCTCCGGAGGGAGGTCACTTGACCCGGAGTTGCTACAACCTCGGGTTCAACCTTTTCAATCTTCTCCTTGGTTGAATCAAGATCAAGATCGTCTTGATCAATCTCCATGACGAGAGAAACATCTATCGGTCCCTTGTCCTTCTCCTTCTCCTCCTCCTTCTTCTTATCCTTCTGTTCTCGGAGTCTCTTTAATAATTCTTCTTTCAGTTTTTGTTCTTTATCCTCGTTATCATTTTCCTTTTCTACTTCTTCGAGTTTTCGTTTGTTTGCTCGATCTTGTTCATTTTCTTTTTCCTTTCGCTGTCTTTCTTCAGTTTCTTGCGTTTCCTGTTCTAATCTTCTCTTCTCTTCCTTTCTTTTCTGTTCTTTTTGCTTCTCTTCCTCTTCCCTCTGTATAGTCCTTTCCGCTTCCCTTTCCTTGGCAATCCTTTCTTCCTCTTTTTTCTTTTTTTCCTTTTGTAGCCTTTTCTCCTCTGCTTCTTTTTTCTCATCTGCTTCTCTTTTTTCTTTAGCGGCTTGTTTCTCTTTTGCTCTTCTTTCTTCTTCTTTTCTTCTCTCTTCGCTTTCTTGTTTTTCTTTAGCTAGTCTTTTCTCTTCCTTCCTTTTACGTTCTTCTTTTTCTTCCCTTCTTTCCTCGGCTTCTTTCTTCTCTTTTGCTGCTCTTCTCTCCTCTGCGATTCTCTTTTCTTCTGCAATTCTTTTTTCCTCTGCAATTCTGTTTTCCTCTGCAATTCTTTTTTCTTCTGCGATTTTGTGTTCCTCGGCGATTTTCTTTTCCTCTGCGATCCTCTGTTCCTCGGCGATTTTCTTTTCCTCTCTAATTCTCTGTTCCTCAGCGATTCTCTGTTCTTCGGCGATTCTTTGTTCCTCGGCGATTCTCTGCTCCTCAGCGATTCTCTGTTCCTCAGCGATTTTCTCTTGTTCTTCTTCTAACCGTTTTTTCTGTTGTACCGCCTGAACCGCCTCCTCTATGGCAGAAGATGAGTCCTCCTCGTTAGACTTAGAAGAATTCAATTCATCTGCACAAAATATTCTTTAATAAAAATTTGTACATCACTAAAAATCGAAATCCGAAATCCGAAATGCTGCACCATAAAATTTGAAAATCTGAAAACTCATAACAAAGAAATGAAGGACATGAATGGGAAAAAAACTCTCTGTATTGCAATTTTTAGACTTTTATTAGTTGTGAAAAAATTTGTTTAAGAAAAGAAAGAAATTAATGATATTATTAAAAAGCTTGTCTCATGTTTTTTCACCATTAGCAAATATACCTTAAAAAGTTCTTTCTATGTGGAAACTGTATAAAGCAAGTCTAAACAACTACAGGATAAGTAAAAAAATGGGATTGGCGTTGTTTTTAAACAGGGTTAGTTTTTAAGGCTTTTAACTATCTATACGTAGTTCATAATTATTTTTAATTAAACAGATAATTTCACAAAATGTGAATAACACTTTTTCTTAGAAATGGATCGAACTGCAATATTTAGGATCCAAAGATCCCTGATTAGTGCAAGTCTGTACTAAATATTACAAAATGGATCGAACTGCAATATTTAG